GGAGCAGACGAACGTGTTCATCCATGCAGCTAACCACAAACCCCGGCGAGTCCATACCCAAGGTAGTAGCAGTAGACTAAGTTTTAATAGTAGTAGAGCTCCTTGTGAAAGAGTTCGTCCAGGGAAGTACTGCCAGCTTACCTATTTCTGCCGCCAAGCAGTAAGGGTGCTGGTGAAATTACAGGCACATGAGACTTAGACACCCCTCAGAACTTTGCGATTTTAAGCTCTGAGTGGCGCTGCAACTGTCAAGAACAAGGCTCACGGCTTGTTCGTCCCGTCACTTGATATTATAAAAAAAAGTCCGGGTCCGCCAGAGAACGTACCCTGGTCTTACCGTGGAGCCCGTAGTCTCCCCGGAACTCCCTATCTCCCGGGTCGGTAGAAAGAGAAAAACTGTACCCAGCAATGGGACGTATCAAAGGGTTGATGATGATGATGAAAGAACGATGTGTCACTTAAATCAAGTAGATTCCTAATTATGGGTCAAAGGAAGATCTCCATACATCTTGGCGTTTACGACCTCCGGGAATAATTCAGCCGAGTGCAAACGAAAGAATTTAATTAAAGCTGTTACTGACTGCTTCTTTTTCATAGAATAACGTACATTATTATTGTAACAATGTTGGTGAAACTTTGTTATTGCGTGCGAAAAGTACTTTTCATTTTTATAATGTTTTTTACGCTGTTATTTTGTTCTTTAATATGCTATTATTTTCTATGCTGTACATGTTGTATACCATAATAAATTTTTATGTTAAACTGTTAAGTAGGTACTATTTCTATCTACTTACCTTAACCTTCACTATTAAACACCTGTTTTTACAGTGAAGGTGTGAATCAGGTATTTTATAGTGATATTAGGGAGAGCTCGGAATTACTACCTATTTGTGTGTTTACAGAAGATTTTGTTTTAATGATACCAAGTTACGGGGCGAACAAGTCGTGCACCTTTAAATCACAAAGATCTTAGGGGCACTACCACTGAGACAGTAGTTGACAAGTGCCAGGTGCCTGTAATTTCTCTAGCCGCTCGCCATTTCGCCAAGCGAAACGCTTCGTGTGAATCCTGGGAATATTCACAACATAGGAGTGGAATCCCAGTCCACGTCTAGTCTCCCGATGATGGAAAGGCGGAATCAAATTATGCAATTCCATCGCACTCTGTGATATATCCTGTAGAATATCGATAAGCCGGCAACTTTACGGCGGTGTTCAAGACTCTGCAGCTTCGCCTCTCCTAATTCCGAGTCACCTATAAGTCTAATGCTTACATTAATGCTTGGCGGCAGAAATAGGTAAGGTGGCAGTACTACTCCGGACAAACTCTTTCACAAGGAGAACTGCTACTGAATTAACGTAGTATATATATTTTATTTAATAAATACGGTTAATATCACGACTTTGGGAATATATTTACAAGACATTAAATAAAGGAAATAACATCATATTAGGATGTTGGTAAAATTACACATGGGTGACGGACGCAGTGGCAGTGTCCCTAAAATATTTGCGATTGAAAGCTTTGGAGTGGCACTACAATTGTTATGGATAGGCGTAACGCACGACTTATTCGTCCCGCAACGTAGTATTATAAAATAAAAATAAATAAATAAGAAACCGCTGTTCCAATCATTACACTCTCGACTCTATAAAAACAAAAATTAAAAAAAAAATGCCTGTGTAAATCTTTAAAGGTGCATAGCGTAAATTCGAATCCATATAAAGAAATAGGTCAAGTATGTAAATGTATGTATTTCGATGCATATAGCCGCAGGGCGCGACCATTACCAGCCCGATGCTTTTACGAGATGAGAAAGCGATTGATGGGCGTGTGTCGCGCGTAATGGGCAATCGATGCCGAATGGATTGCCGTTTTGTCTGCACGCACCCTAATCCGAACCTACGTGTACGTAGCGTGGTAAATGAGGTCTTTTTTGACTTTATTTTTTTCAATTGCTGTAACGCCAAAATAACAAACAGGTACATTGAAATGTAGCACAGAGTCAACATTGTTATTGTTTATCAGTAATCGGAATTGAGGAGGTAAATTTAGCTTAAATAAGGAATAACGTGGACAATCCCTTCTACAAATCCCGGGAATTCTCGGAACTGATTATATTTAAATATACGTATTATTTATTGAAATTTGAGCATATTGGTGACAAATTATTATTGCTATAAATTACAGTCACTGTCGTATTTAAATGCTTACTTGAGCCATTTAAAAAATAAACATGAGAGAGTCTATAGTTTGGAATGTTTAGAAAATAAACAGTAAAAAATTTTATACGCATTAATGACGAAATGGGTATGTCCATAGTAAGAAAACGTTCATACTTTATGTAAGTTAACTCCATGAATTTCGATCACTGTTTATTATATTTACTTAGAACTTCGAAACTTAGTACTGTACTTATGCACATGCTTATGGAAAAGCTAAAAAAGGTTGAAATATGATATTCATAATGAACCACTGGCCACATATACTAGAATGTTACATCGAAATTAAAAGACGATGGAAGGCATTCTTATTTCAAATTTCATTTGAATATTGTTATCAAAAATCGAAAATTATGACCAGCATAAAGATAAATTGTTTTATTAGAACAAATTTCTTATCTGTGATATTATTATTAACATATTTTATTTTATTTTATATTATTGCATCATAATAACATCAAATTCGATATCTATATATTCTAATATCAGCCAAGACGAAGTTTTGAAATGTCAATAGCAAACAATTATGACTAATTTCACACGTTACTTGATATCGAACGATGTGATAATCCGGCCGACTCCAGTTTGTCTATGAATTGAATTTTCCGCCATCTCGCGTGTCGCAACACGAGTGAGGGTTTGTAAAAACATCTCACGAGTGTTTTAATGCCTAATTATGTACAGTTACATACACTGATTTATCTACACACATATTATAAGCTCTCTGTGATGTGTTCAGGAACCGCATGTTACGACTGGCGAAATGGTGGCAAATAAAAACTTTTCTCGCGCATGTCACACAACCGTAGTTTTTATTTTTAAATCATAGACAAACAGAATCGGCCCCAACTATCATATCGTTCGATATCAAGTAACGTGTGGAATTGTCAAAATTGTTTGCTCTTGACATTTCATTTCGAATAAGTTAGTGTCATTGTTGTCAAGTCTCACGTACCTGTAATTTCACCAGCACCCTTACCCTTCAAAACCGGAATGGAGTAATGCTAATTATTCGACTACATTGTCTTGTAAAGATTAGAATCGTCTACAGAAATTATTGGTCCATGATACATATTTTAATAAAAAGAAACCGTCATCTTAGTCCCGTAACTTGATATCATATTATACAAAAAAATATAAATAAAAATACTGACGTAATTTTTTTTCATCACAATGTTGTTTTCAAACACATAATACTATAGACAAAAAAGTCGGTGATAGAATAGTGGTTTTAGTGACATAATTACGTACCGTGTGAAAAAGAGTAAAATATGAATTTTAAATCGCTTTCTTTGGATAGATTTAAAGTGTCAAACATAAATCTGTGAACATGTCCACTTTGCACAATTATTTTCTTTTGTTAAAAACAATTTATACTTCTTTTCATTGTGACGCTGACGGTATATTGCAGAATGTGGCGTTTTCTAAGTGCCTTTATGCACACGGCGTATTTTATATTTATACATGCTGATGATGCCCATTTACGGCGCCGTAGAGGCTCAAAAAGCAGATTGTTGCGTTTGTATCGATTCAAACGGGATACAGACACGAGTTAGTCTGAAGCGTGAAGTGGCAGGGTTACCCATCGCTTTCTTGCCTGTTACGTTACGTAATCAGAGCGGCAACATAGCGAAAATGCTAACGCGAATCTGTTATCTATGATTCTATTAATAAAAACCGGAATCCAAATAATTACACAGTCATGTCTATTATGTATTTATATCGATATCGTATCACGTTTTTCATTAATTCACTAACTACAGTAATATTGGACATTTGTTTCAAAAATATATTAAAAGCCCTTAAAATGTTATATTTGGACATGTACTTTTAAATAATTGTTTTTGAAATTGCGTGTCCAACTTGATCTTCATTATTTAATAATTAGGTGTATTCACTACTTACGTAATATGTATCGGCAATACGAATTGAAAATTCGACAACCCTTGTCTACGACGTCATGGCGCCTCATTATATATACATATTGATATAATAAATCTGTATTTTTTATACATACATATATTACTCTGCAGTAAATAAATGAAGAAAACAATAACTGAATGAGTCCCAGACATAAGTGTTTTTTGCTTACTTCGTTTCATCTTTCGGAAAATGATGATAAACAACGGTACACAGCACAATTCATGACCATTATAAATATAAAACATTTTTATATTAACGTCCAAGTTTCGTAATGAATAAATGAAAACTATATTCAAATATCAAAGTCATCTTCGCGCGAAAACGGCTCGCCGGCAGCCTTGTTGTCGTTCAGTCAATGTGACCGGCAATGTACGTGGCGTGGTGCGGTATCTAAAGCTAGGGAGGGGCGGAGAGTATCCGTTCTCTTTAATTTTTGTTCTCTGCGCGTGACTACAGCGCGTGTATGGCGCGTATACGCGAAGATGACGCGCGTTTATGGCGCCACTGAATTGGTGAACGTGTGCAAAGGTTTACTTGTTGCGACTGCAACGCATTTGAATCGCGTACACGCGCGTCGTCGGCGCGTATAAAGTACTCTGTGTGCATAGGCTCTAAATCAGGTATCAAACAGAAAAAGTTGGGCTGAAGGCCCCCGTATACAGACAATTCTTCGCTTCGATCAATCGTCATGATAATCGTATCGATCCGCCGCTACTCTCCTGCCATTCAAATTAACGGCAAAAACATACACTATGAAATAGTCGTTTCAATGAGAATGAAATGATGGACAGTGAAGACAAATTGTGCCGTATATGGGGGCCATGATAAAAGTAAAAAAATAGGATTCAACTTACTGGAGTGGTGAGAGGCGCAGGCGCCGTTCTTCCAGGCGACGATACTGCCACACTGGGAGCGTTTGTTGCTTCACCTGAAACAATGCAATATAAAATTTAATTCTATAACATTTTAATTTTATAACACTAGATTTGGCCTGTCAAGCTATAATGAGCATTTCTCGAAGAAATTTAATAGACGTTTTTGGTTTTGGTATTTGAGGCTCGACTGTACTTTTTATGTATGTGGGCATTTGTGAACCGATTTTGATGATTCTTTTTTTTTGTTGGAAAGAGAACACCTCAGTATTTAGTCCCATTTAAATCTGAAAAAATATTCCACAACGCCTTCCTTGTATAATATATAACATAACTAACGCATTTGCTTTTTGGTAACTATTTTTTCTCAGTACAATGATTTGTTTAGTATTATTGACATGTTTTATTTACCTGCATCTAAATTTAAAAAAGCTATTATTAAAGCCCTGAGCTAATTTTTTAAATTTTTTTACTAATTTTAGTTTTGCCTTACCTATCATACACGACAATTTTAATAGTAATTTGTGGATGATGTTGTTGATTGTAGATGCACTTATATTAAAATTAATCAACTGAATCTAAACATATCATGTATAACTGTTTGTTATCCCTGCAAAATAAATAAATAACTAGCACGCACTACAAGGTGTTGTAGATCTCGTTCTGTTGAGGCCACCTCTAATGAATCCGGTCTGTTCGATTCCACCCACTTTCCGTTATCGATATCAATAAAACTTGGTAAATACATTTTATTTTTAATACAAAGTGGCGGGACGAACAAGTCGTGGGCCTGGTGGAAAGCGACACGCCTGTCCATAACAGTTGCAGTACTACTTATAGCTTTCCGTCGTAAAGACCTAAGGGGCACTACCACTGCACCCGTCTCTTGGTCCTTCAAAACAGGAACGCAGTAATGTTCATATTACCGCATGTTCATATTTGTTCATATTACCGCATGGCGGCATAAATACAAATTTTTGAGGTTTGTTCATTGACTTACAATTATGTGGACGTCGGGTCCGCGCTAAAAAGTGTCCGAACTTATAGGGCGTTAAAATCGTATACAGAGCGTCATTCACGCTTTAGTCTTCGTTTGTTCGACTGACAGCGAAGCAAGCAAAATTAGACAGTACTGCGATGACATTACAATTTAAATTCAACGTTTTAGCTTTTTCATATTCCTTTACATGTCACTACGTTTAAGTAGGTTGATTTAGGAAAATTTTTTTCGTGGTTTTTGTATTAGACCCGTCGTCCATTTATTTGTAAGTCAATGGGTTTGTTTTTTTATGTATGCAAAAGTTATAAGTACAGTGCGGTACTGTATTTTTAGGAAGTTTTACAACGAATGTTTTACAAGTGTTATAAAAAACTTCGCACCCTCTGGAAATTTATGGATATTTATAATCTATTTCGTTTATAACTGCGTATGGAACATACATTTTTTTATAGCGCATAAAGTTGAAAGCGCTTATATTTTACAATTTTATGTCGATTTTCCATCTTATCTTCACGCTGGAAACATAACATCGATTTTCACATTTTTTCGCCCCCATATCGGGGCGTCCTCAATTAATTTATTTCTTGTGTCCTGACTTACGCTCGGCCCCGTCTTTGAATGTAGTGATTAATCAGGTTTTTTCCGCCGCCGGCCGGATACGGCGGGTATGGCGGGTGTAGTGGGTATAGCGGGTAGCGGGCCGACGGGATAAATCTCCGGCGAGCACTCGATCTCTTCGGACAAGTACACGGCCAGAGTCCGCCACATTATTTATGTCCGTCTAGTATCAGAGCCCAAAGTGTGGGTTTATTAAAATAACTGGTTCGGAAGCACACTTTATAAAAGCATAGGTACTTTGAAGTACCAAATATATATCAGATAATCAACATAGAGAAATACCTAAGATCCGCTAGTTCATACCGTGACTTAGTTGGTATAGCGTCTGGCACGGTTTGCTGGAAGACGTTGGTTCGAATCCAGCCGGATCGAAAGATTTTTTTCTAAGTGTTCTTTCTTCGACCTTTGTGTTGATAAGTGAAATAATTTTACAAAAATAATTGAATGCCATGATGGGCAAACATTGTGGCAATCAATAAACTTAAAAATATCAGACTTTTATACTTTACATTTAACAATCAATCTGCCATTTATTATAATTATATCGAGTTTATCGTAGGAGAAATAATTTTATCATTTTATATAATACTTTTGAGGACAACACACTGAGTACTTCTTTGACTCAGAGCGAGAGCGCCTTCAAATCAAATGCTTATAGAAGAGCTGCAGTGGCGCGGCAACCGCGCAAGCGCGCTGCTTTTACGGTGTCAATTATTGAAGCAAAAAACAGTACAGAGTACTAAAAAAACCGACCTCTTCTACCCTCTGTCCAACAAAAAAAGAATCATGAAAATCGGTTCACAAGTTCCGGAGTTATCGCGTAACATACATACAAAAAAAAAACATACAATCGAATTGAGAACCTCCTCCTTTTTTTAAGTCGGTTAAAAAATAACGTGCGACTGCCGCATCATAGTTACGCGACTGCAGCGCTTCTATAAGGGTCTAACTAATATGATGGCGCGCTTTTAAGCTTACAACTGCGATTGTATTTTTATGTAATAGGTCAGTTAAATTGTGCACCAAGGTTCATTATTATATTCTTAGAATAATAACGCATAGAAACCTTGTCCGCACACGCTAAGTGAGCCAAATTGAAGCGCGCCCAATGGTCCTATACGAGCGGGCGGGCCTTCAGTGCTCAAGGTCAACTTGCACCGCGAACAGATCAAGAATTTTCTTGAAAAATTTCAAGAAAATGAGTGTAAAAATACGTCAGACAAACATAAAATAGATGCTAACATCACATTCCACAAGGAAGTAACGCGTTTCAACTTGTATTTTTATATACATAATGGTAGGTGTAAAGCCCTAAGTAAATAAATAAATAAATAAATATTCACTAAAACCGAAAATTAACCCACTACTAAAACTAGCCTACATGAATTTGATTTTTGCCTCACTTGTGACAGTTCCTTTGATATGAAACTATCATTCTATGCGTTATTATTCTAAGATTATATTCCTATTTATTTATATATTGCACAGGAAAAAGCGCAGATTAAATTTAATAAAAGAAAAACAAAAGGTACTGCATATTTGTATAATAAATTTCTTCCTGCAGACTTAAATACAGGATAAAATAAATACAATAACGGGCTTAACTAATACCTCAAATAGTCCTAATATAATAATAGTAGATAAATAATGTTACGTCACTTTCAATTTAAAAGTAACTTATTTATAAGGATGTAATTGGAGTTCAGATATTATTATTTTTTAATTTAGTTTTGAACTGTTAGTCTTACTTATTATATAAGTAATAATAAGGCAAACACTCATAGCCCCTTACCAGGGAAACCCTGTGTTGCGGGTGCCATTTCTCCTGGCCAGGGAATCGAACCCGGGACCACTGCACTAACGTTAATTTGGAACTTTATGCAACAGAGACCGGCAGCATTTTTCGGTGCGAGAACTTATTAAGTTCTAAAATATCTAAGAGTTCAGAATCTTTATATGCAATTGAGCGTTCGTGAATCGCGCGACTGCATTGCGCCTGTATCTCTACTAAAAGTCGCCAAGTGTAAAGTGGAAGTCTGATGGTTTGACTCAAGCACAGGTCGTGGGTTCGACTCCGGGCTTGCCCCTTTAAGTTACCATGTACCATGAGTTTTTTGGTGAAGGAAAACATCGAAACCTGCACGTTAAAGAAGGTTAACAACTCTCGGAAAACGTGGTGGTGGACTATGGTCTAAACCCTCGCTTGAAAGGACCGTGCCCAGCAATGGGACGTGTAAATGGGTTGATGATGAAAATACCTTTGACTACGGATTAAGCCGCAAAATTAATTAAGCTTGCAATTTCCTTATTACTTTACGCATAAGGGGTTTCCTAATTTACTGAACTCGGCTAAAGAACAGCACTTGAAGTTACCGCTTATGATGAAAGTAATGATAAATACTCTACAATATGACGTTGCGGTTTGGAGAAGGGTGTATTCCAGTGACGGTCTTTGCGAGAATTCCTATCCTATCTTGTCCTCGTTATTGTAACGAATGTAATCGATATTTTTAGCGAAATTAAGTTGTTAAAGATATGCTCTATTATTACCACCGACTTAGTGTAAGCGGTAAAAAAAAAATTTACAGGATAGGGTTTTTTTATAATATATGTATTTGTACATATAAATATGATACTAAATTGAATTTTAATATATAATAATGATTTTCGTAAGCGATTGTGTAGCACGTAATTTTTTGTAAATAATGGATGTTAAGCCCTTTTCCGGCTTTTATAATAATATTTGCCATTAAAAATATGCAACATATTTATTATTATTATTTATTATCATCATTATCATTATTGTTATAACTGAATATAACAAAATTGGTAATTAACTTAGAAAATGTTTTATTAAAATTGATGTTGAACTCATGATAAAATAAATATTTATTGATTGCAATAATGTCTGTATAAATTATATAAGGTCCTACTTTATCGGGTTTTAATGAAGACATTACAAGGTATGTGTATAAGGGTTATAGAGAGAAAGGGAGGTAAGGTTTATATATTTACTCGCAAGCACGCACGGTAAGTAAAGTTCACAATGTTTATGATTATTCTTATACGTAGTTTAGCTTTTTGTTTAACATTTCGTAGTCACGTTTACAATCATTACGAATGTAATTTTATCAATCAATCGAATTTTATAATTAAACATAAAAACATTACAAAATACGTATGAAATAACGAAAATACGAAAAACGGAATGTAAGTCAAAATAATTTAAAATTTGATAGAATATAAAGTATCCCAAATTTAAATGTTGTAACACTATAGTACTATATGAGTAATTTGGACATTGCAAACCTGATACAGTTTCTAATGTCAATAAATAAATAGTTAGCCTGTAATAGTCTCACTGTTGGCACAGTTCTCCTCCCGGAATAAGAGAGCTTGCTCTGTAGTTCTCATGTAGTGCCAATTATGAATTGGGAT